AGTTGGGTAGTCCCCTATTCACCAATTTTATCAAAAATGTTTAACGCCCACATAAATGTTGAGGCATGCAGTTCAGTACGCGCCATCAAATATATTTGCAAATATATAAACAAGGGTAGTGATCAAGCTATTTTCAATTTTAGAAATACTGATCTTGCGAATCCCGTAGATGAGGTACAAACTTATCAGTCTGGTCGGTATGTCAGCAGCAACGAAGCCGTGTGGCGTCTGTTAGCATTTCCGTTGCACGAAAGGCATCCCACCGTGACACATCTCAGCGTGCATTTAGAAAATGGTGAACGCGTTTATTTTAATGAACACAATTTCCACGAACGAATAACTACTCCGCCAAAAACCACACTCACTGCTTTTTTTGATCTTTGTATCAGAGATGAGTTTGCAAAAACTCTTCTTTATGTCGAGGTGCCGAGGTATTATACTTGGGATGCAAGTAGGAAAACTTGGAAACGCCGCATTCAAGGTACTTCAGTTCACGATTGGCCTGGCGTCAAATCTGGAGATGCTTTAGGACGAGTTTATACAGTTCATGTTAGTAACATGGAATGTTTTTGTCTACGCATGCTTTTACACCATGTGCGCGGACCTACCTCTTTCAATGATCTAAAAAAATACAACACACAAGATTATCCTACATTTCGAGAGGCATGTGAGGCAAGAGGATTACTGGAGAATGACAACCATTGGGATGTGACACTGGAAGAAGCTGCTCAATGTAGATCAGCAGGCAAGATGAGAGAGCTATTTGCTGTATTAGTAGCGACATGTGGTCTTTCAAATCCTCAACAATTGTGGGATAAATACAAAAATGATATGACCGACGATATATTGCACAGATTACAAGAGCAAAATCCCAATGTCACGTACAGTGATTTAATTTACAATGAGGGTCTGACAAAAATTGAAGACCAGGTTAAAACAATTTCTGGAAAGGATTTATCAGATTATGGAATGATCAGACCACAGAGAACCGAGGAAATCAGTAGCGATTTAATACGGGAACTAGATTACGATACTGCTTCCTTACAACAACAATTGACAGAGTCTGTTCCACGTTTGATCCCAGAACAAAGGTTAGTATTTGACAATGTTTTCAAAAAAATCGAAGATGGCGAAGGTGGTTTGTTATTTTTGGATGCTCCCGGAGGCACGGGAAAAACCTTTCTTTTAAACTTGCTTTTAGCGCAAATCCGAAAAGATAAAGGAATTGCTGTAGCAGTTGCCTCTTCCGGAATAGCCGCCACTCTGCTCAATGGTGGTCGAACGGCACATTCGGTGCTTAAACTGCCATTAAACTTAGCCCATGAAGAAATGCCAGTCTGTAATATAAGTAAAAACAGCGAGCGTGGACGTATGTTGCAGCAATGTAAATTATTAGTTTGGGATGAGTGTACTATGTCCCATAAAAGAGCAATTGAAGCTCTAGATCGGACTTTGAAAGACATCAAGAGTAATCCAAATATCATGGGGGGGATGGTGGTACTTTTAGCGGGCGATTTTAGACAGACTTTGCCGGTTATCACTAAAGGCACCCCTGCAGATGAAATAAATGCGTGTTTAAAAGCGTCAACGTTATGGGTGCACGTAAAAACGTTTAGTCTGTCTACAAATATGAGAGTGCAACTACACAATGATGTACAATCTGGACAATATGCTGCTGCTCTTCTTAAAATTGGAGAAGATCGTATGGCAAAGGATGGTAATGGCATGATTACATTGGATCGTGAATTCTGCAATGTTGTGCATAATCCAGATGATCTAAATAACTTCGTCTATAGCGAACTGCTAACTAATATGAGGAATAGAGACTGGTTATGTGAAAGAGCAATTTTAGCGCCGACGAATGAAATGGTGGGACAGATAAACGAGCAAATTATGTCACGCGTGGAAGGTGATATTGTTGAGTTTCTCTCTGTAGACACTGTAATGGATACTGAACAAGTAACATCATACCCTGTAGAATTTCTTAATTCTTTAGAACTGTCGGGAGTACCTTCACACAAACTGAGGCTGAAAGTAGGCGTTCCTGTCCTTTTAATGCGGAATTTAGATGCACCAAGACTGTGTAATGGCACACGGTTGCAAGTGACACACCTCGGTCGCAATATTGTAAAAGCAATCATTATGACTGGAATGGCAAAAGGAGAGAACGTTTTAATCCCCCGTATACCCATAATTCCGACAGATTTGCCATTCCAGTTTAAGAGATTACAGTTTCCGCTGAAAATCGCATTCGCTATGACGATAAATAAAGCTCAGGGGCAAACATTAAAAGTAGCCGGCATTAATTTAGAAAAGAGTTGTTTTTCTCACGGACAATTATACGTGGCTTGCTCACGTGTTTCAAGTCCACAGAATCTCCATGTGTTGGCCAGAGATGTCACACTGTCTAACATCGGGGGTTGGCAGGTAGGTAGTTAGTAGTATTTTAAACCGATTTCCATTATTTACTTTTTATATTTACTAAGGAAACATTCGGAGCTATCCATTATGTAGCTTAGGTTGCTTTTGAACAAATTTTGATGTGAAGTTGAGGACTGGAACACGATAGTGGGACATTGTTGCAGGGGGACTTATAGCCGGGAGAAAACAAAAAAACTTATGCGGACGAAGTCGCGGGTAAAAGCTAGTAATGAATAATGTTAAGTTTTGTTTTTGTTAAATGTTATTGGCACCCATGGAAGATCAGTGTCGAAGTACTTTGTTAGTACCAAGACTATGCTGAGTTGGGTACCTTTTTAGTAACCGTTTATCTTAATATGTTATTATTGTTAGCAAACTTCAAAAATGTGTTACTAAATAAACTTATTTTCTTTCTTTCTTTCTAAATAAAATTGAAGTGTCTGTTTATCGAAATAGCAGCTTTTTACTTATGCATATGAAAGAATATACGATACTTATAACAAAAATACGATTTTTAAAATTTTTATGTCTTTCTGTCTGTCTGTCTGTTTGTTCCGGCTAATCTCAGAAACGGCTGGACCGATTTTGACCGGACTTTCACTGACAGATAGCTGATGATATTGCTATAAGAAGTAAGTTGGCCTTCTTTTATTCTAGGAAAAGAATTAGGGTTTCTCGCAAAAAATTAAAAACCCTTGAAATCCAATCGTAATAAATTACGCGCGGTCGAAGTCGCGGGGAACAGCTAGTCTAATATATATTTTTTGTACAAAAACTTGAGCACGTGTCCTTTCTTGACCTTGTGCCCCTAGACACGTGCCTAGTTTATCTTAAGGATAATCCGCCACTGACCGCAGTCTATTATAATTTTTAGTTTTTATCGGAAAGATACTGCCACTCATTGAGTTATATGTACTACGTACTAGAGAAGCCTTTCTAAACAAAAAATGTGTACTACTCTATGTCTTCGCGCATGCGTGGGAGATAGTAAAGTCGCGCATGCGCAGTTGATTTAAGCGCGTTGCGCCTGCACGGTCAGTTTATATAAAGAAATATATTTTTTCATGATCTTTTCTTTTGTAATATTACGATATTATTACCTATTTATTCACTTGAACAACAAATAATTTTACTTACTTTACTACTGAATTGTTATTTACGTCTAGGTTTAAACTTTAATTTTAAACCTTGTATTATTAGCGCTGGTTCACACTGCAACTAGTAGATTGAAACCATACTAAATGACACACTGAATGGTACGGATTGCAGTACAGTTCAGTTGAACATAGTGTATGTTCGGAATGCGCAATGTAGTACGTAGTACATATATATCGATACTGCTACGTATTTCCTGTCTCAGTTCTTTCTGTCACCTCTTACGACATCCACGAGACAATATGGGATAGTGGATATACTTAGAACGCCATTACACGGCAAGACTATCATTGATTGCTATTAAATTTTCCAATTACTGTTATAAGTGATATTTGATTTTTACAATAATAAAATATGAATAAGATTTAACATAAGTACATACCTATGTAAAAATATTCAAGTTTTTTTTACAGCTCGTAAAAGGTATTGCCTGTAAGAATTGCCTACTTCATTAATATTGATACCATATTCCTTTCCTCTTTTTCAGTGCAGCAGGGACAAGATTCCAAGAACTTTTATATGTGGTAGAGCCATGCTGCAGCTATATTAGTAGTATAGTTGTAGCACAAATGGGTGGGCTCGAACGGGGAAGGATCACGCTCTCACAGATTACCAGCGTAAAATGGCAGCTTGACACTGCTGTGTTTCGTATGGTGAGTGTAGAGAACCGGAGACCCATTTTACTGGAAAAGAGGCATTCCATCTTAGTCCTCACGGGTGACGACGCATCTGCATTTTGATCCTTTATTGAGGATAAATGTAGATGTCTATGAGTCACAGCAACCACTTACCATCAGGTGGACTATGTGCTTGTTTGTCACCCTATACTAAAAAAAAAACTTTTTAATTCCAGACGTTGCGGGTGCTTTACAGCATGCATGGTCACAGAGGGGATTGAGGTGTTTGACGTAGCTTTCTAATATTAGTGTTTGGTCCGATCTACGCAGAACGAGCATATAAGAAATTAATAATAAATATAAGAATTTCATTAACATTCTAGGATATAATGCTATCATGTCCTATAATTATATCCAATGTGTATTTATTATTATTTATACTCTGGTGATGTACTACTACGAGAAGTATAGACTAAACTCAAAGCTTTATTGTAAAAACACAAAACATAATCATCATCATCATTACAACCCTTTACAAAGTCCATTGCTGAAAATAGGTATTCCTCGGGACAAGCTACAAGAAGCGCCACAAGCTAATGTCCTGAGCCACCTGCATCCGTTGACTTCATGCATATCTTGTCAGGTTGTCACTCCATTTAGTGCGCGGCCGTCCTACACCTCGCTAATAAGGTTACCCCTCGAGAACCTTCCTCGTTGCCGACTCTTTGGGATATATGGCCGGTCCATTGCTTACTAATCCGTTAATAAACTGAAGTGGCAATAATAATTCTAATATAATATACTTACCGCTAATTCAGTAGTAAGGTTATCTAGTGCTGCATTTAGATATGGACCAGCTGCCTTTGCAATCGCCATGCACGCTCTGGCATCGCCAAGAGCCAAGTTGCAGCAACATCCAGCAGCTGCACATTGTTTTCTTATGTCATGACCTAAAATCAAAAAGAAAAATCTAAACTAGCAAGCAGACTAAGCTCTGCAGCTATGCTGTAAAAAAGATTAGAATTCTCACTATTGCAAATATTAGAATGTATTATATGATTTTGATGCTATGGAGAAATGCGCCTGATATAGAAACTATTTTGTTTTGCAGAAGAGGGCTATAAGAGCTATTTAGAACCGAAATAAATATATTAACTTTGGCCTCTCATAGTTACGATAATTTAATGTGTCGCAGTAAGATTCTAATGACTTCTAATAATTAACTTTAATTGACATGAGCATCGGTAAAACGTGTTCTTTGACAATCCTCTTACACCCCGGACAATGCAGAGGTAATAAAACCTCATACAATTTTAATTTTTTTTAATATTAAATTTTTGATGATAATTTTATAATGCACTTAACAGGAACCACAGGGTTTTTGTTACATGTTGTATACCGTAATATAGAAGATTTAACAGTGTACATCCATGCTTGGATGGGCCGGCACGAACCAGGGCCTCACACGACCTCACAGAATACCAACGTAAAGTAGAACGCAACGCAACGAAACGCGTTCCGCTTAGTTAGTGCAAGTGGCCGAAGCCCCCCTGGTAATGGATAATCTCTCACTGAGCATCTACTCTCTTCTTCCAGGCTTCAGGCTGACCCGCGTATTCTAGGGAGGGGCAAAATCCCGCTCTATCTAACACTGCACTGCACGGGGCAAACAGAGCGATAAAACCATGGCGACCCCTGCCACGCGCTATCCGTGGACTTCTGCAACATCAGGGGACTTCACTCGAAATTTTACGCCTTCCACTACCATCTATAGAAGGCGAAGCCGGCCTTGCTCTTTTTGACCGAGACGCAGGTGTCCTCTCCGGCTGATAATTCGTACCTGTCATACCCGGGGTACAAATTAGAACACTTCTTTGTGCCCTGGGCTGGAGTTTGCGTATACGTCAGAGAGGATATCTGTTCTCGACGCCTCGACAGTTTTGAAGGTATGGACCTGTCCATCGTTTGGCTGCGCGTAGACAGCGACGACCATCCCCGCGTCTACGGGTGCATGTTTAGGTCCCATAGGGGTAATGCCGACACAGACCGACTCATCGACCACGCCCAAATGGCTACAGCTTTCTTGCTACAACAGATCTCATCCGTAGAGATCGTGATACTTGGCGATTTTAACGCCCACCACGCCGAATGGCTCGGTTCACGTTTAACCGATCATGCGTGGAGATCTGTTTATGATTTTTCCTTACATGAATTGATGTGGAGGATCATACATATCCCCTGTTGGACCTTCTGCTGACCTCTCATCCGGACGGATATCAGTTTTCCGTTGATGCCCCTCTCGGCTCTTCGGACCATTGTCTGATCCGGTGTATGGTGCCACTTACGCTCCCCTCGCGGTTGCGTTCTGCAGGTTGCCGCCATGTTTGGCATTACAGGTCAGCGGATTGGGACAAATAGCGGTCTTTCTTTGCATCCTACCCATGGGGGCGGGTTTGCTTTTTGCCGGATGATTCCAGCGTTGTTGCTGACTCTGTAACTGATGTGGTGCTACAGGGAATGGGACTATTTATTCAATCATCTGTGGTAACCATCGGAGGCATATCTCGGCCTTGGTTTGGTCGCTCCTGTAAGACTGCATTACGAAGTAAGCAGGAGTGTTATCAGGCCTGGGCTGTGGCTTCGGCGGTTCGGGATGTAAACACCAGCATGCTTAAAAAGAAGTATAACATCGCCTCCAGGTCCTTCAAAAGAGTTATTGCCAAGGCAAAGTATGAGCACATTGGCATAATTGGCGAGAAATTAGTTCGCCTTCCTTTGGGTACCCGTGCATTCTGATCTCTCGCCAAGGCTGTTCAAGGGAATTTCTGTAAGCCATCACTAGCATCTCTGCACAGAGAGGATGACTCACTGGCCCACGTCGCAAAAGAGAAAGACTCCCGTTCGACTTTTTAGGCGCCCTTTTTGCGTCCAACTCGACTCTCGATGACGGTGGAAACGCACCGCCGACCATACCGCAGTGTGAGTGCTCTATGCCTGATGTGCGATTCACACAGCGCTCAGTACGCAAAGCACTCCTCTCCCTGGACATACACAAGTCGAGTGGGTCTGACGGAATCCCGCCAACTGTGCTGAGGACGTGTGCTTCAGAGTTGGCACCGGTTCTAACGCGTTTTTTCCGGTATTCCTACTCCCTAGGCGTTGTCCCGAATTCATGGAAAACAGCTTTCGTGCACCTGATCCTTAAAAAAGGTAACTGCTCTGATCCGTCCAACTATAGGCCTGTCGCCATCACCTCTTTGTTCTTGAAAATAATGGAGTCCATTATTAACCGCTAGCTCATACGGTACCTTGAGGAGCTTGGCATGCTCAGTAGAGCAGGGCAGTATTTCATGCCTACACACCGCCTGCAACTTTACAAGACGCAAGTTCGGCCTCACATGGAATACTGTCCCCATCTCTGGACTGGAGCTCCCCAGTGCCAGCTCCTTCCACTTGAACGCATTTCCGATCGGCTCGATTCACTGCTGCTGCTAAGAGATGTCTTTGCTTTCATCTCTTTGCTTATTTCAGCGCATCTACCACGGGGAGTACTCAGAGGAATTGTTCATACCATACCATCCATACCATCTGTATGATTGGCGGTCCACCGCTGTGCGATTTAGAGAATGTTTTCTTCCTCGCACAACTTCCTTCTGGAATCGATTATCACCAGCGATTTTTCCAAACCGGTACGACTTATGGACCTTCAAGAAAAAAGCCTACTCCTTTTTAAAAGACCGGCAACGCATCTGCAATTCCCCTGTAGATGCAGTTATTCATGGGCGGCAGTAGTCACTTACCATCAGGTGAGCCGCATGCTCGTTCGCCTACTCTCCTATAAAAAAATGAAAGTGGTTCATAACTGAATGTACTCAACTGGAGGAACAAATTTCGCGACATTGACATTGGTTTTTAAGTTCCTGTTGTGTTGTTGTTCATGTTCCTTTTTCAACAGTAGGTTAAGGTATAAACACAGAATAAATAATAGTACAAGAACAGAAGAATCACTTTCTGATAGCAAAGTTGCGAGTTTAAACCTAGTTACAACGTCGCTAATGTTCATAATACTTTGCACGCCTCGGAAGCGACCTTCGTTAAAATAGCTTACCGATTAAATCATCATAAAAAATTTGTCCGGCGCGTATTAAATCATAAAGCAACATACGTCCGCGTACGAGAGTCTGTATCACTCAGCCCGTTACGCGCCTTTGTTAAAGCCGCTCCCACTGTAGGGTTAAGTGTTATGAGAAAACAAATTGATATTAGTTGATAGTAGCTTACAAGTACTTATAAGCATAGCTTGCTTATAAATGCTCTAAGGGTAGTAGAATACACCGAGGTGTTATGCAATGTATTAGTCATTTGCTGATAATAACAACATTATTGTTTAAGGTGAGCAAGGTTAATATGCAACATCGAGAAAAATTAAGATTATAAAAATGTGAACGTCTTTGAAACTCAGATAATTTACCTACTTACCATTTTTAACCGACATTAAAAACTCTTTCTCTCTTTTTTAAAAATGGTACCTCCACACTAGGATTTTCTCCTGTATCGCGGGGGCAGTTTACGTACATAGATTTCACAAGGATAAACATCCAGACCCAGAACAATTATTTGTATGCCATACAAATACTTGTTCCGTGCGGAATTCGCACCGCAGCACTTAGCGCTGCAACTCATTGCTAAGCCACTGCGCCACTGAGCCGTCACTTGTTTGTCACATTTTTTGCTATTTACAAACACGCGACAAGTTGAGAATATGGAAGAAAGAATCATCAAAATCGGTTTCCCTAGAAAAAAGTCCTGAGGTAACACACCCAACCAACCACCAACCAACCAACATGGATTTCTATTCTGTCTGTCTATCTCCCAAGGTAACTACTTATCTTCTGTACCAAGCAGTAAAATTGTTGTTTTGGTTCAAAGGCTATTGCTAGCCTGTACAATGCCTTTCAGACATTCCACTTTATGGGGGTGACTATGCACTTGTAGCCTTCTCGGTTTGGAGTCGGATAATAGAGTCCACAGGCTGTAGTGGCCAATTATTATAAGGTGTACTGTATGTTTGTTGCTTTTAGTGTTATAAAAATAATTTAAAATTAAAAATTTTGTACAACAGACTTCTATATAAATTATTAAGAATAACTCAAAATCTATTGGTTAGACCTTGATCAAGTTTTATATGGGACCACGTGAGAAGCAACAGCTTTCAAATAAAAATAGAATCATCGAAATCGGTTCACTCAGAAAAAAGGTATGAGGTAACACACATAAAAAAAACCATACAGTCGAATTGAGTACCGTCTCCTTTTTGAAGTCGGTAGAAAAAGGATTTGATATTCTACGGACGATTACCATTATTTTTACATATTGTTATCATTATTCACATAAGAAATAAATATGACAGCATCATCATTGTGACATGTAAAAAACATGATAATACTAAGCAAGTCACAATGACAATGCTAAAAATTTTTCAAACAGCAATTTGTAGGTGTGAGTGTGTTATGCCACTCCCTATGTCCCCATGTCACTACAGAGTTGTTTACTGGTATCTATTAAAATCTGGCTTCTCATATGGAGTGGGTCATTTTATCTAGGTCCTTTGATGATTTAGCTTGTTTGCTTGTTCATTGTGACCATTTCTTCTATATACACATCTTGTAAATGTGTATACTGAAGGAATGTGTGTCTAAGTCTACACATATTACTACTTGGTTAATTTAGCTAGTCATTCAATAAATTATCTTACATTTACCTTTAACTGTTTACTGTTTTTCTGTTTTTCAACCGATTTCAAAAAAGCAGGAGGTTCTCAATTCGACTGTATATCTTTTTTATGTGTCTTACCTCAGAACTTTATTCTAGGTTAAACGATTTTGATGATTCTTTTTTTAGTTGAAAGCTGGTGCTTCTCAAGTGGTCCCATATAAATAACAAGGGCAGAAAAATAGTTGACAAAAATTATTGCATCTAGAATAACTTATATATAAAATGAGTTTAACTATCTTTCTATGATTTTTCAATAAAAATGTATTTTAATTACAGTCACAGAAAATAACGTACATTTTGGGAATATCAAATGACTTTAATCATTTTACACTATTCAAGTGTTGCCAATTACTAAATTCATACATTTTCGTATACACTGTAACACTACCAACACAACACACAAACAAAATATTTTTATAGGAAGTTATTATTAGTAATAACTACACTATCAGTAATAATAAAAATAAAAGTGATATGGTTTAAAATAAGTCTCTTACAAAGGACTTCCTGCAATAATACATTATAATTCCATTTAATGTTATGGCAACACTAGCTAAACAAAATGGCACAAAGGCCCAGAAGCCATGCCAGAAATATACATTTATAGTATGCAAATATTTAATAGAGATATAATAATCTAAAAACTCTCAATTATGTAGGTAGGCACGATATGTTGAGAATGTATTAAGCTAACACCAAACAACCACAGGACGCATGATTTTTCCTAGTGGCATAAGACATAACCTAAAAAGGTTCAAATCTAAATATCTTTTTTTGACACCTTTCAGGGCAAACTTCTTTGACAAAGTTACTCAGGGACTGATGCTTAACATTTTAAGATATTTTTGATATATAGACGCTACCATTTCTTGTCAACAAAATTTATGTTTGAGTCTGCCATTGTTCTTTGATCAAGATCTAGTTGTGAGTTATCCTCAAAAATTCATATTTAATTGACTTCAACTACATTGATCATGTTCTCATTTTATTTATATTAAAGTTGGTTGTACAATTATTTTAATTTTTACCACTAGTATAATGTAAAGTTGTGACTGGGAAATATAAATTTTATTTAAATTACTTTTTTCTTTTATAGGATAAGGGTGACATACGAGCACACAGTCCACCTGATGGTAAGTAGTTGCTGCGGCCCATAGACATCTACATCAATCCTCTATTACAATTCAAAATGTAGATGCGTTGTCATCCGTGAGGACTAAGATGGAATGCCTCATTTCCAGTAAAAAGGGCCTCCGGCCACCTGCACTCACCAAGCGAAACGCAAAGGTAACCCTCTACTTCACGCTGGTTTTCTGTGAGGTTGTGGTACCACCCCAGTTCGAGCCGGCCCATCCGTGCAACAGCTAAAGCTGCCGCTTGGCTCTACCACTGTTATTACCACTTAGAGGAGTAATCTTCCAACAAATAATATTATTACCTGAAAGTTCTCTAACAAGACCTCGTAATGCTCCATGAGTACTCAAAACAACTTCAATATTCTTTGAATCCTCCATCAAGCCATTTTTGAGAGTCTGAAGATCTGTGATAGTTATTAAACACTTAGTTTTAAGCTTCTGAACTGCATCAGCAACACTCTGTGGTGATATACTGAAATACGAAAGTAAGCCTGCAGTATTTTTTCTATAGAATAAGGGTGAGAAATGAGCACACGGTCCATCCGATCGTAAGTGGATGCTGTGGCTTATAAGACATATACATCTTTCCCCGATTAAGAATGAAAATGCAGATGCATGGTCACCCCTGAGGACTACAATGGAATACCTCAATTCTAGCAAAAGAGGTCTCCACACTCACCATACAAAACACAGCAGCATTAAGCTGCTATTTTACACTGGTATTCTGTGAGAGTGTGGTCCTTCCACAGTTGAGCCAACCATAATATATGGTTGTACCACATTTAGTAGTCACATAATACTTTAAACACACCTCTCTGTAGTACAATCATGACGTAGCAGAATTACACTGCAGTAGTACATAGTTATACAAAAACGTTCCAAGTTAAATATACAGATCTACTTATTTTGATCTCCACGAAGATGTCAAAATAAGTAGATCTGTATATTTAACTCATTTTTGACTGTCACTTCCATGACTGACTTGACATTGGCAGAATTCTTTTAAGAGAAGCCAGAAAGTAAAGAAGACTAAGAACTCATTTTTGAATGACTTGTGGGTTGGAACATTTTTGTATAACTACGTCCAGTTTTATTATGGTGTCAGCTTATATGGTTTGACTTGATCAACCAGAAAAGGACAAAACTCATAGAAGACCCATAAAATTGTAACATAATGATATTATTACATAAAGTAAGTGAAAAGAACTGTAAACCAATAGGACACTCATCTTCATGTTGGGTATCCTGGTAAGGCTGGCAAGGCTATGGGCACTAACAACACTAGTCAGGTAGAATAATTAAAGATTGATCATCATCATCTTTACAGACCCCACAAGTCCACTGCTGAATATAAGCCTCCTCCCAGAAATACTACAAATCACAGTCCTGAATTACTACATCCATCGATTTTCTGCATCACAGTCACTCCATATAATGGGGTAGTTTTATAAAGAGGACAAACGCAGATAATGCGAGTAAGAGGGAGCCTATTAGCCTGTAGACATTTTGTCGCTTTTAAGGCAAAAAATCATGGGTTAGTTATTACAATACCTTAATTCTTTGATGGAACGTTGAACATCACTCACTTCATCCCTATGAAATCTCCGATTTAATTTTAGTACGTTTCGGGTAGATTCCCTTAAGCTGTGAACTGGAAAATCATCCATAGTTTTTACTAAAAACTAAGCATGTATGACTGAAAAAAGGACAAATAGTACAAGTTGTAGTTGTACAAATAAATTATACGAAATAAATATAATAAGGTAAGGTATAGTATAGACACACCAGGTTTTTTAAAGTGTTTGTGTTCTTTTATTTTATTCTTTTGAATTTTGAATTGAGATTGAGCTTGACTATGACAATTGATGACAATGACATAACATTTAAACTTTTGACATTGACATTGGTTCATTTTTTAATTAAGAGTTTTGGCTTGAATGCTTGTTTTTTAAGCCATGTCTATAATAATCCTTTATGGTACACTGCTACACAAAATGTTGATGCGTCACATTGCGTAGTTTTTGGAAGATTTTGACTACTTGAGCCAGCATACTGTTGTTATAGTACCTTAAGAGGACCCTTACCGGTCCGTCTATCGTCAACGCGAGCATGGTTGAAAAGCCTGTTTCATTCAGCGTTAGAAATAGAGGCAAAGCGAAAAGAGAGAGAGATAGCGCCTGAGCGCTCGGTTGGCATTTGGTAACTTTCGATGCTCACACGCGGGCGGCCGGGTGGTCGGCTGCTAGGGTGAGCCAATCATAATAATAATATCGAATCGCGCGCGCGCCACGCTACTATGGCCTAGAGTGCGCATAGCTATAGTTCTGTAAATTTCTCTGTAGGCAGGTGCATACCTATATTTAGTAGCTATTGTATTATTTTATTATATTATTCATATTGTTAATGTTTTCTTTGTTTTCATTTATAAACCTGGAAAATAAAATAAATCTACATTCCAATAGAAATAAAGTGTGCGGAAATTTCAGACCACTTGTTCCAGGTTTCACATCACCATCGCAGCACTTGTTTCGCCGTTTCCACTAACAGTTCATATGCGCGGACATTTAATACATAAAATTTCACCACTTTTACGGTGAAGTAAATCCACTTCAAACCATTATTTAAGCAATAATACAGGAGCAGCAATCCGCCGCCTGTCAAGTTCCCACCAAAACTCCAACATTTGACATTAGTTCATTTTAGGCAGTACGCATATAAATCTGTGATCAATTAATTTATACGTGGTAGAGCTATGCTGCAGCTATATTAGTAGTATAGTTGTAGCACGAATGGGTTGGCTCGACCGGGGAAGGACCACGCTCTCACAGAATACCAGCGTCAAATAGCAGCTTAACACTGCTGTGTTTCGTATGGTGACTGTAGAGAACCGGAGACCCGTTTTACTGGAAAAGAGGCATTCCATCTTAGTCCTCACGGGTGACAGCGCATCTGCATTTTGATTCGCAAAAGAGGATAAATGTACATGTCTATGGGCCACAGCAACCACTTACCATCAGGTGGACTGTGTGCTCGTTTGTCACCCTATCATATAAAAAAAATTGAGAAATCCAGTTTTAGGAGTTGAGAAATAGATCCATTTCGAATACCGGATAATATGCTATGTTCACATACATCTTTGAACATATTTATAAGCAAGCTATAGAGCGCGCGTGGCGCTCAATGCTTACTATGCCAAGTGTAAACAGATTTTCTTTACATACTGATACATAGATGAAGCGCTTTAAAACTCATAATTGGCGTGTCTCTATAGGTTGATAATTCTTTTTTATAAAATTTTCATAATTTTGTTACAAACAATTTTTTACTCCCGGTTATTTCTTTATGAAAAGAAAAAAATACAAAAACAGCCATATATAACATGGTATTAAAAAATTCTTTAAGTTTTTATTACAAAATTAAATGTTTTATAAAAAAATTCAGTACTTTGTTATACATGATTATTTTTCAAAGAGTAGCCAAATTTTAAATTTTAGTTCAAATATATAAATAATGATATACCGTTATTCCAGTTTTTGAAAATACGAGTAAATAAGGCCTACTTTTATTTGAAATTATCCCAAATTGAATGTGATTTATGGGCAACAACGTTTTTGCCCACCAATCCACCCTTACAAATGTGTACGTGCGCAGTAAAATCAGTTAAAATAATGCATTACTACGCAAATTTGAATTTTAAAAGATAAAAACGACAGAATGTTGGAGATTTTATTTAATTAGTTTTTTCACCGTTTCCCTATGTTACTTATTCTAAACCTTCTGTGACTGGTTATTGCAAAATAACCCTGTAAATGGCTGTTCTCTTAATTTTTTCTTTCAGAAAAAAAAAAGAAAATAAACCGGGGTTTAAAATTGTTTGTAACAAATTATTAACTTCGTAATCAATTAAATTATTTAAAAAAAACTTTTTTGTTAACCTATAGAGAAATGCCAATTATATGTATTAAAAAAAATCTTACTTAAATATTTAAACAATCAAAATATAAAACGATTATAAACAAATAGAAAATATGTTTCAGGATTTTTTTAAAATCATCAACCTGATCAATCACCATTCATCAGTTGCCATGACAAAGAATTGGTAAATTTTATGTAAACTTGTCTATTTATTTATAAACAATTTCTTGAAAAATTACGTAATTTTTTTCTGCATTTATTAATGTCATTGTTCGGCGAAACCAAACACCTTTGTCAGCAATTGGCGCAACGCCGCCAATTTCTTTAGTGCATTTTCGTTAAGCAACAGTGTCGGGTGCATTCATAACAATTTATTAACATTTTTGTAACTGTTTTAAATAAAGTGATTTTTTACTATTTCGGACGTTATCAATTCAACATTCTTAACAAACAACCAGACACACCCCCGACAGTCATTGTTACATAAAAAATAGCAATATAATTACGTTATAATTATATTTGTTCACTTAAAAAAGTTATAACAAACAAAATTTAAAACTTTAATAAACTTTTATGACGTGATCTTGTGTGTGATCTTTACTCCAAGAAGCAAAACATTTTTTGGTTCATTATTAAAACTTTTATGTCGGCTTTTGTAAAAACAGACATTGGAAAAAAAGTAAATTAACAATCGTATAACTTCTTTAAAAATCGACATAAATTGTTTTATTTTTATTCAAGTATTTTAATGATACCATAATTTTTTTAAAATTTAAAATTAATATTTAACACTAAAAAAAACATTTTATGTCTATTCTAATATAATAATCTTCAGCGGCGATGCGCTCTAACCGTAACGCTCTCACGGAGTCCTATTTTCGGTGTAAAATAAAAATAATAAATAATAGAGATAGAATTCTGAGAGTCAAAACTTTTTGGTTGGAAATTTTCTCCTCTTTATGGATCTTCTTTATAAAGTTCCTAAATATTAATAGTTTGTGAGTTATTTTTTTCATCTTATTTTGGTAATAGCAATTGCAATTTTTTACATGCTAATAAAATCATCGAGATGCATTTTTTGAGATGTCATTGCGAATCAAATGAGCATACATATTTGTAAGAGCGGCAACAAGAATTAACACATTTTTGAACTTTTTGACTAAACTATAAATAAATACTAAGTACATTAACTTTTTCAAGTTTATTGCAAATGCTCATTGCTCTGATGTACATATAATGAAAAAAGGAATCTCTTAAATATCACCTTAAATTTGTTTTCGGCAATTTGAAAAGTAGTACAAGCTATATATTTGGCACGTTCTATTCTTAACCCTGTTAGAAGGTTGAGTGTAGCAAATATTGAAAACAGTTGATTTTCGCACAGAATTCATCCTCTCGATATATTTCTATGTGATTCATTTCGGAGTGTGCACTTGAATTACTTAATTTTTACCTCTCCCTTTCCCAACGGACTACCAGAATTTCGGTAAGTCCTTCCTTTGCTTTCGACATACAACGCATTGACTGCCACGTTGGTGTATTGGTTGGAAGTACGTTTGCTTTGGGTTCAAATCCCGAGTCGGGCCTAACAATCAGTAATTGGGCTTTTCTGTTAAGAAATCCTTAACAGAAGTCCAAAATCAGGAAGTTGGCAGTGTTCCACTCCCGTGTCGCGGAAAGCACGTAAATACGGTTGGTCCTGCACCTGATTTCTGTCCAGTCGTGTCAGGTGCCGTCCCATTGACTATCAGTGCACCTATGCTTATGCATACACTCAGGCACTATAATCCCATTCTATGCAGATGGCTAGTGTCCTTGTGACTGGCCGCCGTGATCGCAATTCGGTCTTAAACCAAAAGGTTTGCTTCTTGGTTTTATTTTTTATTTTTATTCAATATTGATTATTACATAATACTTATTGAGTTTTTTTTTATTTACTACTGGTTCGGAAAATACTTTTCTCCTCGGAAGAACCAGCGAGAAACCCAGCCGGACTTTTTTTAAACATATTTCCCTACAATAATTTTTCGTTTTTTTAAGATAAGAAAAAGTGCGAGGGAGATGGATATTATTCAATCTCGCTCACACTATAGAAAAGGGGTTGTGACGGAAAAATCTTAAAATTTTTCTCGCCTAGCCCCCATCCGTCGAATTCGTACCGTACGATAAGGAACTTCATTCAAAAAAAACCAGACAGTAAAAAGAGTACCATGTACAAGTTAAGACAACAAACAACCCCTAGACAACCCCTAAAAATTTCAAATTCTCAAAATATCCAGAATCGAAGCTGTAGGTATGAACTACTTGCAAAATAATGAATATCTTGTTGTGGATAAATTTTCCAAAAACGCATTTTGAGCGAATTATAACGAATTTTAAAATTACACGATTCGCGCCAATGCGCCGATACGCCACAATGAAAAATAATCGATGCGCACTGAATCGGTTAATGGCATACTCCGGAAATGAGAGATGAATCAAAAAACACCTTTCACTTTATATCATCGGTCAGCTATTTAAGATACAAGAGTCACCTAAGAGTCACAAAGTAACAGAAAAATCTACATGAATAAATAAAAAGACTGTTGCTAATCACACCACAATCGTGTGATTAAAAAATTATTATTCATACGATAATCGTATAAATAAAAAAAAACATGCGTACAGTTCACACACGGTAGAAGTGAAAGTTACAAATGAAATTAAATATAAAATAAAAATATTTCACGACAAATGATATATTTAATATGATATTTTTCAACAACTAGTGCGGCATAAAATATAAGATAAAAGTTTAATTTTATAGCAAATTAATTTATTAATGTTACAATCCTTATTTTGAGATTAAGCTTTAGTGTAATAAAACAAAGAAATATTTTGTCTCGAGCGAAATTGCTTTGTAATAGCGCCATCTACTTCATTCTATAGATAAAGTCATTTTATCGAACAAAAATTTATTGACTCTCAAGGTGGCACGTGAAATAGACGCTAGATGATCTGAAGTTATGGATTGTTTATAAATGGATTTACACATTTCACACATTGGATTGCGAATCCAGACAGTCAACAGTGCGAACGTGTCGCTGTGCGTTTTGAAATGCAGGTTTTATATATAACAAAATAATCCATAAATTAACAGTAACTACCGCTAGTTTGGTGTGCAGCGTGTAAAATATCTGTTTAACCTAAAAATGCAATTTCGACGTCTACGTGAGCTGAGAAACGCCCCATTTCACCTCGGGTAAAAGAGACGGGCTACGCACATAAAATAATTCATCCCTTTTCGACAAGTCGGTTTCAAGCGACAGCGGGTGGGTCGAGAATTCACGCGTGAGTAATTATTGTAACGTTGCATACGAATAGATTTTATATTTTTACAACTGACTCACAAAGTAGAATATCACAATATTTGTCAATATGGTAAACTGCGCGGCTTGTAATAAAACTATAAGGGGAAACCAACTAATGAAATGCACAAAGTGCGATTATCAATACCACCCCTTGTGTGTTAATATATCCGAGTATCGTAAGATTACAGAGATAACAAGATCAACATGGATATGCCCACAGTGCCGCTGTGCGACGCCAAAAACCGATAACACGAACAAACCCATACGCTCACCCGTCTGCAACGAAGATATCGACAGCTGTAGTCCAGTGGTGGTTGAATCACCCTCTTTGGCAGCAAACTCATGTCAGTTATCTCTGCTGGCTTCGGAAATAAAATTACTTCGCGAAGATGTAGGAGAATTAAAAGCCCACCTCAAGTCACTAACTGATCACTTGATGCAGTGCAATATACGACTAGATGACTATAAAATCAAGTTATCGCGAGCAGAGGATAAAACCCGCGCGCTTGAAAAAAATGAATCGGAGGTCCTCAGGTTGAATTCTACTATTGAACAACTTAACCAGGAAATTAATACTCAAGCACAAATTCACCTAAAGAACGAAGTTGAAATCACGGGCATAACAGAAACCACCAACGAAATCCGATGATATTTTAACAACGGCCGCAAAAATTAGAATCAACCTCGACGCCAACAACTTAGACTACGTAACGCGAGTGGGTTCCCGTCAAAGAGCGATAAAAACAATGACAGTAAGTCACCGACGGACTGGCAACCTCGTCCACTAGTTGCGAGATTTCTACGACGGAATAAGCGATGAGTTCTTACTCGCAGGAAAATCTAGACGCAACCTCAATAGTAAGGATCTAGATTTACCTAGCAGTGCAAGAAACATTTACTTCAATGAGCGGCTGACTAAAGAAAATCGGCAGTTATTTCGCATTTCAAGACAGAGAGCCAAGGAATGTGGCTTCAAATTCTGCTGGAACAAAAATGGCGCTTTCAATATTTGTAAACAGAAGGGAAGCCCTCCAATTACGATCCGGAACTCCTCCGACTTATTACGTCACTGCCCGCCTGTTACACAACCTCAAGCAGACGTTTAGCAATTCACAAGACGTTGTTTACTTTATTATAACTGCACCGTCTTTTGCGCATATTTTATATTAAATTTAGTTTTAAGTTACAAATTCATTCATATATTTTACCAATTCTTGTCAATTGATTTACGCAAAAATAGGTCTAGGTCAATTTTATACACACTCATATTAAAACACACACAACTCACTACACTATACATAAGCAGTCGCAATGAAATACACACCAACAAAGATTTAAAGTTATTTTCACGAATTAATAACAACATTCCCACTCTTGCAGCTGTAAGCAACTTCAGTAACAGAATAATATTATATTTGTCTTAATATTTATATTAATTAAACATGGATTTACTTAGCATTGTTAATGATATAGATGAATCACTGGCCATAGACTGTCGTAGTATAGACTCTATGGAAAAATACAAGAGTGTTCTTACTAATGATGAGCATAGTTTAAAAGATTTGACATTCAATATACGAAGTTATCAACGTAATTTTGACGATTTTAAAATAGGTCTCAAACGTTTGGACCAGGCTGGTGCAACTTCCATAGTAAAAATTATATGTACTACAGGGGTCAAATTTTAATGACGGTTACTCTTCTTTATGCTTTTCGTGATATGTCTATTAACGACATTGTCAAATGAAATAGGTTCAAATGTCAAATCAAACAATTATATTTGTATATATTTTATTAATTAAGATTGCTTTTAATTTTCTATAGGAGCCGTTGTTCATTTACAGAATTGTTAAGAAATTAAATATGCATTATAAAACTTTCCAATTAAATGGTGCAAGAAGCGGAAAAAATGATAACAAGAAAAGGCTATTCGTAACAATATTTCTCTTAGATGATGAAAGGTATGTGGTGATTTTAACTTTAATAGTAATATGATATTCAACGCGAGTATATTTTTGGACTAGCCATCTATGTAGGACAAGTTTTTATAGTGTACGATTGTGTGCACAAATACAAACACACTATTTCCTAAATCTGATAGTTCGATGGTTTGGCAATCCAAAACGAACTATACTTAGAAACTACAAGTCAATTCTGACTGGTAACATTCTATTTGTTCAATAATACTGTGATTTTATTTATATTATTTTTTCAGATGCAAGCAATGGGTGAAATAGCTGGCACATGCACCAATTGAAAAGATTCACATGTTAAGACATATTTGTGACAAACATTGCATATGAACCCAACTAAAACGAACTGTTATTTCTTTAGTGGACTTACTTTAAACTTCCACAATTTATGTGTATGTTAATTAGGCTTCATTTACATGTAGCAAAAGATAATACCCCTCTAAAGTCACATTTTGGCAAGAATTAGATTATATAACTAAATCATTATTTTATTCATCAATAACATTAGCTATAATGAGCACTTATTTTGAAAGCGACAATTAGTAAACGATCTCTGCGAATAGTATGTACATAGGTGCCTCTGTGAAGAAGCCTAGCGATTTGTACATAGTATTTGTTACACATAAAACCAATTTAATCCAATCAGTATTAAAAACCTAATATTTTTACCCTTAAAAAAACTAACGTTGAAAACAAGCATCCAAACGCAGACTATTTATTTTACAGCATAGCAACAATTGTTCAGTGCGGGAAGGAAGCCTCGGTCCTGCAATGCCGCAGCCAAACGCTTAGCCACTGCGCTACGGAGTCGTCATTTATTTTTTACTTAATTAATTACTACTATAAAAGTGCGTTTTTTATTTTATATTTTCTATATACTTTTGTACCTAATTGAGATATAAATACAAATTGCTGTGTGTAAAATACAATGATTTCTTATCTTCATCGGCATTTTTACTCAATCCACACGTTAAAAATTTTATTTCTCATAAATAATTCATTATAGAGATCTAACTTTTCTTATGTAAAAAAATCGATAAACAGTATATCGATAAAGGTTATATCGATAAAGTTATTCGAGGATAGATATTACAGCACTATTGTAATTCGTCAACATTGTCAGCACTGTTTCTCAAAATTAAATGTCATATCTTGATGTTGGTAGAGTAACTTGGCGTAATTTCATGCAAATATTTTTACTATGGAAGTCCCGCCTCTTAAACGTAGTGATTATATTCTCTTTGGTTTGGACCTGGATTTTGATGTCATTGTATTGACGGAATGTTGGCTGTGTGATGGTATCATTTTTGAACCATTGGAGGGTTACAAAATCTATCAATCCTTATCACAAGTAAACAAATGCGGTGGGATCGTCGCTTACGTAAAAAACTCATGGAATAGTGAAATTGCACCTCAAGTACATAAATTGGATGACGCTGATAAGATTATCATCTTCGTTATTTATATTTATGAGGAGACCCTCATAAATAAAAATAACGACCTTACAGTCCTAGGAATTTACCTCTCTCCTTCCTTCTCAAATACCGATCGATTTATTTCCTCTTTAGACTCTGTACTCTCTGACATTCAACACAAACGAACCCTAGTAATTGCAGGTGACATTAATATTTACGCTTGATGGCATCTCATGGTCTATATCCAGCGATATCAAAGCCAACTAGAGGAGCCTCATGCCTTGACCACATATTCATAAAATCTGAGACAAAGTCCTCAGGCCTCGTCTGCAAATCATCTATTACGGATCATGATTTTGCTCTGGCTGAAATTATTTTGCAAATCCACCGACATAGAAGTAAAGTACGCATGATACGAAAAACAGACTGGGAGTCGGTTGCCTCATATATCAACAGTTTGCACTGGAATGAAATAACAAGCGAAAATAATGTTAATACCGCCTCAAACAAATTTAATGATGCTATTACATACGCAATCAATAAGTACACGCAGGAAGTTAAAGTAGGTCGCAGAAAGAGCAACATAAAATGCTGGATCACCCCTGGATTAATAAGATGCATGAAACACCGGGACAAATTGCGCCTTGAGTATAGAGCTGATCCGAATAACCAACGTAAATTATTGGTCTACACACGGTATAGAAACTTTTTTCATACTCTACTACGGAATATTAAAGCTGAACATAACAGAAAGGAAATTACTGAAAACAAGGACAATGCACGCAGTCTTTGGAATAAAATTAAAAGCCTATGCTATAATTCTACGTCAGAGTCCCACCCCATAAAACTTATCAAGGATCTGAACAACCCAACTTCATCTTTAGACCAATGTAATCACCGTTTCGCAACAATAGGGGAGGTCTACGCTGAAAAAATTTTAAGTAACTTAGGCACATCTCAAGACCAACTTATCAAGAATCACAGATGTTCAAAATTTAACCCAAATTATTTCTATCTGCATCCTACTGATGTACAAGAAGTGAGCCGAATCATTCACAACCTAAAAACCAACAGTTCTCCAGGATTGGACCATGTCACTGTTACGCTGCTTAAAAAGTCCTGCAGTAATATTTATATTCCTCTCGTTCACATATTTAATTTAAGCCTAGAAAAGGGAGTTTTTCCAGAATCCTGGAAAATTGCAGCAGTGTCATCTATTTTCAAAAATGACTCTCCAACCTTGCAGGAAAACTACAGACCAATCTCTTTACTTAGCATCATATTGAAAATTCTAGAGAAGATAGTGAATAGGCAACTTGTCCGTTTTCTACATAAAAATCGAATTATCTCGGATAAGCAATATGGTTTTCGACAGGGAAAATCGACCGACGACGCTGTTGCAGCACTAGCTGACCAGATATCACAACACGTGGAGAGTGGGAAATGTTGCATAGGTGTTTTTCTCGACCTGTCGCGAGCTTTTGACACTGTCTCTGTTGGCCTCCTCTTGAAAAAGCTAGGAGCCGCTGGAGTAAGGGGAAATACACTTCAATGGTTTGAAACTTACCTTAAAATGCGAAAACAGCGCGTAAAAGTAGGAAAACACACTAGTAGGCAACTGCATGTCAATTTTGGTGTTCCCTAGGGCAGTACCCTTGGACCTACTTTCTTCACTTTGTACTTGAACGATATCCTCGAAAAAAAAATTGCCTAATTCAAATGTAATCGCTTACGCAGATGATACAACCATATTGTTTCACGATACGACATGGAGTCGAGTATACAGTACCGCGGAACAAGGCCTATCTCGGATTGCCATGTCCTTAAATGTAAATCTACTTACACTAAATCAGAAAAAGACTACATACATATGCTTTTCTAAATCTAGACGAACGAGTCCTCCGATTGCTATTCCTTTAACAATTCATTACTGCAGAATGATTATACCTATCTGCATGGCTGTAACTGTGAACAGATTGCGCGCTCTAAAATGACCAAATATCTTGGAGTTATCATAGATAAAAACCTAAAGTTTGATGCCCATATTTCAAATCTGTCTTCCTGTGTGCGAAAGCTCATTTTCATTATGAAAAAACTGCGAGTTTGTACTCCTGTTGATATCATACGTCAGGTGTACTTTGCAATATGCCAATCTATACTGCAGTATTGCATTTGTGTTTGGGGCCGCGCTGGGAGGACTGCATTTATGATATTGGAAAGGGCTCAACGTGCACTAATTAAAGTAATATTGAATAAACCAT